CATGATCTTTGTTTTATCACAACATGATGCGACTCATTGATTAAAACATGTTGTATAGTAGCTTTATGAATTGATTTTGTTTGGTGTACCAACCTCTATGGAGGCTCATATGACTCTTTTCATATTGGCCATGTAAAACCAAAAGCAATAATAAGTTGTTATATGTACCAACAACGTTAAATTCTATAAAGAAATTCGATAAACATTATAATTAAAGTGCATTGCGATAACCAAGGTTGCATAAATCGCTTGACGGTAGCTCGGCGGTGGACTGGGGTCAAGGGATTAATCGGCTAGGCGGGGATTAATCGGGGACCATTAATTATTAAAAAATTAATAAATAAAACATTAATCCTAAGAATATAACATTATATCTATTTAAAAGTTACTAAAAATTAATAAATATAACATTATAAAATGATACTATGATTACAAAAACCCTTTTGATCCCTAATACATCATATCTAAATAACCAACAATTGCATTTGCATCCAAGTCTACATAAAATGGGGAGAAAAAAGTGTTATGAACAATGGGTTCCAATAACATCGGGAAGAGATGTGGACCTGCAACCTGTTGTCTACTGCATTTGGAACTTTGTGAATGTTGAGGGAATTCAATAGCAGGAGGCTGTGGATATGTGGGAATTCCATGATCGATGATTCCATCCTGATTATTGCTATATAACTATATAACACACAAGAGGCGGCGACTGTTGTAGAAGCTTCAGAAGGCGAAGACCGGTTTAGCTTCGAGGATGACGACTGACGGACTGCGACGACGTGAATGGAAGAAAAAGACGGTGTTGAAGGAGGGACAGATGACATCGAAGAAGAAGATGGCGTCGTTTTAGAAGCTTCAGTTCATGCTTTCTTTCATTCTTTCAGACTACAGAGAGAATTTCAAAAAAGAAAAGAAATGAATATGATGGAGTGAGAAGAACCCTAGCAGCAATTCTAACAATTTGACACTTTTGCCCTTAAAGTTTTTTTTTTTTTTTTTTACCGATTAGGGCGCCTAGGTCCGCCTAGACCCGATAATCTCCGTCTTTGACCGATTTTGACCACGTCCGATAATAGGGTCCGATTAGCTATAAACGTCGACGGTGGAGGACCGCCAAGCGCCTAGGCGCCGATTAATCGGCCGCCTAGGCCGATATTTGCAACACTGGCGATAACCATAAACATCAAATTCAGACATTGTAATTTGGTCAATTTCTAAAGTATCTTTTTCTTATAAGAATTAAAATATGATTTTTCAGGCTACACCCTATCACATATACATATCTTTCGATCAAAGAAATTATTACAAAAAAAAAAACATGTTATGAACAAAAATATATCATTAGTTTCATAATTTGCCAAAGGTTAACACTAATAAATAATAATGAACTTTCACAAATCTTGCATTTTGGTCACTGCATCCAACTAACAAATGAAATTCAATTTAGAGGATTGATTCACGAAATGCATCCATGATTTCTTGTAGCTGAATTTGGGAAATGCTAAGACCTACTGAGATATGAGGGAACGGTCTGTGAGACTACGGTTGGTTTCTGGAGGCCAATACAAATTCAAAATCATTAGCACATATCTTTCCTACCTACTTCAATTATCAAATTTAGATCAAACTTGTTAAAATCAATTTACAAAAAAAAAAAAAAAAAAAAAAAAAAAAAAAAAAACTCATATATGTAGCCTAGCAATCAAACAACATATTTTTCATAGAAATAAATATCACAAACCTATAATTTACACTTTATATAATATTCTTAAATTATATCTTACCTTTTCATATTTAATGGTCATTAACACCTCTTTCTGTCCTATTGTAGTGACACAAAATAACTATAGAGTACACACATGGTTAATCGTACCGACAACAATCAATGTTTTTTTTTTCTAAGAAATATTGATGTAAGTTTAAATTATATAATAAAAAAAAGTAAAATGAAATATGAGGGTAAAAATAATCCAAAAACTATTTGACATAATGTATATTTCATAAATGAAAGTTAAGTATATAAACCTCATCTACTTGTTGGAGATCAAACTTATGAAGGAAAATCGTCATTTGCAGAGTAGAGGATGGAGGACGAAGCGTTTCTACAATTAGCAGATGTGCTTTCCGGACTGGATTTGACAAGAAATCTTAATAATAAAGAAGATGTTATTTTTGTTGCTTTAAAATAGGATTATTTATGAAGATCCTAGTCGTAGTGAAGCAATTTGTGACGGAGAAACGTTATGAAATGATGCATAATGAAGTTGGTATAAATGTATATGCATTTATAGTAAAAGGAATAATAATATTTTGAAATTTTTTTAAGGTGTAAGTTGTTAATCATAGTATGAACAAACCTCTATAATAAGATATTTTTTCCGCATTGAATAACAACTATCATACGAGTTTGTTTCTTATTTTCCAAATAGTCAGAAAATTGTTGTGCATACCCATCTCAGAGTGTTACATTTATTTGTTTGCTTCTACAAAAGCCAAAACATAATAAATATACAATATAAAATGACATTATAAAGTAAAATTTGACACAAAATTTCGAAAAGTAAACATACTCTAGATCTTCCAAGCTCAAATGAACTCTCTTTGATAATTTATTTTTCTTGTTCATAAGGGTTTCCATTGGGAAGCATGTCACAACATCTCCAATAACATCTATTATATAAGATAAAAAATGGAAGATTAGTATAAAAGTTTCGTTATGGTGAGTGATGGTAAATAACAAAAATATCGTTATATAGACCGTTAGATTGTAACATATAAACTAACCAACATGTGTGTTCTCAATAAAAACACCATCCAAAATGGCGTTGAAGTTTGCAAAAGAGAATCCATAAAGTAATCCAGTCCACTGACTGCATGGTGTAACTTTGGTTGTGATATAAATATTGATTTTGTTTTCATTATCAACAAAACTATTTTTCGTTTTGATTAATACCAAGTTGTGGATTTTGGATGTAGTAACAACCATCCTCATGAAATAAACTTTAAAATCTTTCAACCTATCTATTAGTAACCTCTGTCTCAATCTTCCTTCCCTAAATGCACAAAAAAAATCAGTTTATATATTGTTATATGTGGTTCGAATGAAATTGTAAGAAAATTCATAAAAAAATGTTATTACATGTTCATCAATGAGAATCATATTAGTTTTGTAAGTCTTTGTTGAAGATCCATAAGCAAGATGTTTCATGAGACAAATTATTCTTACTCTCATGATAAATTGGCTTTTTGAAACATCAAGTTGGTCTATGAAGGTAATGTTGCTTTGAGCCATGTTTCTGTTTGTGAAAAAACTAATGATTGTTAAACACAAGTGACCCAACCAAGTAATTAATATGGACCAGGTAAAATAGGCAAAACAAGAACAATTCAAAATCATAGGATCGAAGTGAAAATATAGTTTTAAGGACGGAATTTATAACTTTTGACATAACTCAAGGACGCCGAATGTAATTTAGTCTAAAACACATAATGTAGAAAGTCTTTTGTATGTAATCAAAATCAAAATTATAAAAATAAAATAAAATTCTTATCATCCAAATATGAATGATGTTATATATACTTTTAAAAAACCTCATAATCCAAACTTGACAATAAAGTAAGTATAAATAGTTTTTGTTGATGCTCATCAGAAAACATATCAAGCAGTAGAAGGGGGGCATCAGTGGTAGGGGTAGGGGTATTTCAGGTAAAGAGAATGTATACATAGATATTGTTCTGCCCTCATTCATCATGCAAATAAAATTCAATGTAGAGGAGTATTTTTTTTATATGGTGTATAGAAATATATCAGTTCCATTCATTGATATATACCATTGTATTTGATTCATGATTACATTTGATAACCCTCACATATTAAGAACATCGATCACACAAGTTTCAGGAATGTTGCAAACAGAGGATATAACGTTGATCATACACAGACTCGTAAACAAACATAGGTGAACACATTAAAAAATCGATATAAATGATATAATTTTGTTTTTGTAACTAAATGAATGAAACTAATATGCTTAAAGTAGATTGATTAATTTTTTTTATGACCTCTCAACAGGAATACAGTAATAACAGGTAATAAGAACAAAGTAAATGCAAGAAATTGGAGAAGAAGAAGGAGAACAAAGTAAAGAAAGAACCTGGTAAAAGGAATTTGAGAAGAAGACCGCTGAAGAAAACATTGTAAATCGTAGGACACAATCCAAAATCCTAAGAATAACAACTTCAATGTAATCGTATATATAGGGTGTTTTTGAATAAAAAAATCATTATCTTCCAAAAAAATTGGGATCCTAAGATATCATCTTGGAGATTTTCGGCTATTCATTTGGAAAAAAAGGAAGATATCAGTTATACTGATTCAAAATTTTAAATTAATTGACTTGCTTATTTAATGAGTTTTAAAATTCAAACCAATATCTCAAATTGATTCATTTTATATGGGATATATTGGGGGATAAATTATAAATAATATTGACCTTAATTTTGACACTAAAATATTTTGTTGATTTAATGGGATCTGATTAGATTTTATAGGTTAATAACTAAATTATTGATATGCTTATTTAATGAGTTTTATTAAAAAAAAAAAAAAAGTTAAACGGATTTGAATTTTAAAGCCAAAAGTTATAAATAAGGGAGTTAAATTAGGAACACTATTAATTAAAGAAACTGATATCTCGTATATAAGTAGAATGATATGTTGATAACATAGTTGCTGAATTTAAAGATTTTATAATTATTAAAGATTCTATAATTAAATGTAATTGTGTTTGAATTTTTTTTTTTTGGGATTATGATGTCAACAATTTGATCTAAGGGTGAAAAACATAGGATTGAAATACAATAAAGACCTTGATTGCTTTCTCTTTTAATAATATTTAGAGATAACAATGAAAATATAGAAACAATTATTGATAAGTGACATTGTAAAATTTTTTATTATTTAAAAATAAAATAATAAAAAACATAAATACATGAAAATGAAAATTAAATCATGTCTGCTATTCTTGTGTGAACTGCTTTGCAGTTATGTTTTTATTTTCACTTTTGCATCCAATTTCAAACGGTCTCTAAGGGTTTCATGCCTACCACTGTCATCTTTTCCCGGCGACAAAAGAGTAAAAACGGGGCACCGGACGTTCATCCACCGTATTATTTTTCTCCGTCACCGTCATCACCGGTCAGGTGCTTGCTTTTTTGTATTCGTTTATATTAATCGCGCATCTGTCAGATCATTTTTGTTTACGAGACGCATTCTATGATTGGATCCTGCGCATTAATGTATGTTGTCGTTAGAATCTGGATCTTCTTATTGTTGTTCTTCCTATTTTATTCACGGATTTCGTAACATTTTCGTTTATTAATGCGTAACACATATATCCGTGGTTTGCGATGAATTTAACGAGTCCATAACCATGGCAATTTTCTTCAGCGATAACGACTATGATGTTTCTTATATTCGTATAAATTCCTTTCGTTTTATAGATTAATCTGATGGAAAGGATTGATTAATCATCGATTCACATGATTATGGTTCTGTAACTGAACTCAAAAGGATTGATGATTGTGCCCAATAAGCGATTGCTCTTGTGTTTATTATTATCTTTGTTACTCGAACTGCGTAGTGGTAATTCGTTCGGAAATTAATTTGGTGCCATTCAAATCTTCTGACATTACAGTTTATATTAATCGCAATTCATCATTTCTGAACTGGAGCACATTCACTGTCAAATTTGTGTTTATTCCTCTTTTCTAGAATGTGAAATTCTCCTTAGGTTTGTAAGTGCAGTTAATTTTCACGAAAATATGCATATTTGCCTAAACCTGCATACTTGTGTTTCCTAATCCTTCAATTTTCTGAGAGACAGAATGCACAAATTAGGTGTCTATTCACCTTTTCAGCAGTCCTTTAGATAATCAATCATCATGTCATTCTATTATGGATCATGATATATAGTTGTCTTCCTTCCATGTTTGCAGGATAGTTGGATATGGAGTCAACTCATGGTCACATGCGTTCAATCAAGCTATGGCCTCCTAGCCAAATCACGAGGCAAGTTCTTGTGGATCGTATTGTAAAAAATCTGGCAACACCATCCATTCTATCAAGAAAATACGGTCTCCTAAGTAAAGAAGATGCAGAAGAAGACGCCAAATTAATAGAGTCTGCAGCTTTTGTTGCTGCAAGCCAACACTTTGACAAAGACCCAGATAGCGATGGAGGATCCTCTGTTCAACTCTACGCTAAAGAATCCAGTAAACTTATGGTACAAGTTATCAAAAGAGGGTCCAGAGGAAAAGATGACCGGGAAACCACCATCCCGGAGTTGGTCACACTTCCATCAGACCACGAAACTGTTTTTGACATCTCCGGTGGCCGGAGAGCCTTCATTGAAGCAGAAGAAGCTAAAGAACTACTGAAACCATTAAAAGAGTCTGGAAACAAATACACAAAGATATGTTTTAGCAATCGAAGCTTCGGTTTACCCGCTGGACATGTTGCTGCATCGATTCTGTCAGCCATGAAAGATCAGTTGACCGATGTTGACTTCTCCGATATCGTTTCGAGGAGGCCGGAGCCTGAAGCTGTTGAAGTTATGAGAATGTTATCTTCAGCCCTCGATGGGTCGAACCTAAACTATCTGAATCTTTCAAATAATTCACTGGGCGAAAGAGGGATTCGAGCATTCGCGGATTTATTAAAATCTCAAAAGAATCTCGTTGAATTATATCTGATGAACGCTGGAATCTCTGAACATGCTGCAAAAGCTTTACGCGAATTGATTCCTTCTACAAATAAAATTAAAATCCTTCATTTTCACAACAACGTAACTAAAGACGAAGGTGCAGTTGCAATCTCTCAAATCGTGAAAGAATCCCCAAATCTTGAAGATTTCAGATGCTCCTCCACTCGGGTCGGGTCTGTAGGTGGGGTTGCGTTATCCGAATCACTACAAAATTCTACCCTTCTGAAGAAACTCGATTTACGTGACAACATGTTCGGACCTCAATCCGGCGTCGCACTTGGCCGGGCTCTTTCCGTTCCGGTGAAACTCACCGAGATTTACCTCAGTCACTTGCGTTTGGAAGACGAAGGAGTCACCGCCATTGTTAAGGGTCTGAAAGGTTCCGCTTCCGCCCTCGAAATCCTCGACCTCGCCGGAAACAGCCTCACTTCTGAAGCGGCTCCTGCTGTGGCTGCGTGTATAACTTCAAAGAAACATTCTTTAACGAAACTAAACTTATCGGAAAACGAATTGAAGGATGCAGGTGCAATGGTGATCGGGGAGGCGCTTGAGGGTGATTTTGGGCGGTTGAATATAGTTGATTTGAGTAGCAATGGGATCAGAACAGGTGGCGCCACCGCATTGGCTAAAGCGGTTGTGGGGAAACCGGAGTTCAGGATGCTGAATATCAATGGGAACTTTTTGTCTAATAAAGGGGTTGAAGATGTTAGAGAGATCTTCAAGAACTCGCCACGTATGCTTGGATCTCTTGATGACAATGATCCTAATGGAAAAGATGATGATGATGGTGATAACAATCAAGATGCTTGATCGAAGCTTCAACAGGTTTGTGTTTCTATTTTCTAACATGAAAACATGGTTTAACACATGGTCAACGGTTCAATACGGGTTTGGGTCGAACAAACGAATTTTTAAATCATGTCAAAATGAAATGGGTAGGGTCGTGTTGGTTGACCTAACAGCATTTTTTTTTCATAAATAAAATATTATTATTATTAAAAATAATATTTTTAATAAAAGAGCTCATAAGGTTGTAATCATGTACATTTTTTATCGCTTTTAAATTGTTGTCTTTGATTTTTTTTTTTTTTTTAGCTTTGATTAGTTTTAGTAAATAACTCAAAAAACATGACTTTAAAATGGATGTATGGGATAATCTTCATTCTTCTATTAAATAAATATCTTTAGGATTTTTGTAACTTTTTTGTATTTGTAACTATTTATTTTTCTGTTTATCCTTAAATGTCTTGTAATTAGGTAAGCTGAAAAACCGTCTCTACACCATTAGTCACATTCCCCAGTCCCCACTCTCGGCTGGAGACTGGGGATTTTTTTCCATAAATTTTATTTTTTCTATATAAAAAAAACAATTTTCATAAAATTTAATTATCTAAAAGATAAACATAATCATAAAAAATTGAAAAATATATCATAGGTATTGATAATTATAAAAATCCAAAAACCAAATTCTGAAATGTCAAGAAAATTTAAATGACTCTTCTCATCAGAGTTTACAAAAAGAATTTTAGAATTAAGTTTTGAATGGGATCAAATTCTAACATAAATTTTTTATTAACTTTTCATAAATTATAACAGAAAACTGATGTGTCTCCAAATTCAAATATTCTTTCAAATGCGTACTAATTCCTAATTTCAGTTAAAGTCTATTTATGGAAACAGTCTCGTTACCCTTAGGTAGATATAATAGATAATCACAAACCAAAAAACCTATTTTTCAATAAACCATACATTTATGTTTCATTGGCCAAAGACCAAGTTTCAAACGACCTACCAAAAGATTAGAAACCAATCCATGCCATGTCATCAGATGACATGATCATGTCTCCGTTTCTTGGCTGACTCCTCTTTAGCCACCGCACCACCACCACCACCACCCGCCTCAGCATCACCACCACTAGAAGAAAAATACGATGCAGGCCTAACCAATGCTTCAATCGCCTTTTCAAGATTCGATACAATAACCGCTTGTGTAGACCTGTTGATGTTCTCATACTATCACAACCACAACAATATTTAAAAAATATATATATATATCAGTTTTTACACATAACATATATAAAAAGATTGTTAGGGATAAGTGTAACGATACCACTTCAAGTTTCGCTAGAACGATTTCCAACTTTCTTGCAAGGTCATGATTCTCCAAAGTTAGAGCTTCAATCTGAAATCAAAATTAAACTTAAAAACACAAACACAAATACATTGAAGATGAATGGGGCCCATAATCGTAACAAAAAGGGGCAAAAGAAAAGAGTAACCTTCTTTTGGGAATCGAGGTATAAACTCTTGTAGATTAAGCCAACCGAGGTGCTTTCACTTGAAACAGGCCCCTGTCCTCCCTGTTTTTTTAAAACAATTTCTATTTCAGGAAACGTACTCTTCTAAAATACAAGAATTTTTTTACAAGACCTATGACCTTATACAGTTAGAAAGCTTGCCTTGGATTTATATTCTTCAATTGTTTTTACAAGATGATGAACCTGTTCATCTCTTATCTTCTGATCACCCGAGTCTTCATTACATGGCTCTTCTTTTTCTTCTTCTTCCACATGGTTTTCAATTGCATTTTGAACATGAAGATCCTCTTCTTTTTCGCTCTCTAAAAGATCTATTTGTTCAACCACTTGATTCTGAATCTGAACAGGCTTTACTACACTTTGAAGCCTTCCAGATCGCCTAACACTGCTTTTGTGGTTTGATACCTTCTTTGATACAATACGATGGTCTGAACCATTTATCGGTATCATCTCCGGTGTAGGATCCAGATTCTACAAAAATTGGCAAAATACTTTCATGTATTTCTTAACTATAACATCCTACTTTCATTTCGTCCTATTAAAACACACTCTATTTTGAAAAAATCTACCCAATTATGGCGATGTTCATTGTTATAAAATAGGTGGTTTTTCATAACGAACAATGTCCTAACAAGAAAAAATTGAAAAAGAAATAGGTACAATTATATATTATTAATACTTGCGAATTAAGTACAATTAATGTGTTAATGTTTATCAAGACTTGTTCTTTCATCTTCTCAGCCTTATAAATTAACATTTAGTAATAATAAATAAATTGAAGCATTCAATTTTTTTTTTTTTCATTTCCTTGCACTTGAAATTTTGCTTTTTAGACAGACAGAATTATAACAAACGAAGGGTTTTCTTAACTTCAAATCAATAGATATGTTAGTCTCCTAATATCCGTGAATTAAATTTTATTGGCTATTTTTTAGAGCAAACTGAAAAGGATACAATGTTACACTATACTAGTATACTATAAACAAAAGAGTTCATACTTTTCATAGACAGAGACAAATTATAAAAAAGTAAAAGTCAAGTACAGTTTAGAGAGAGGGAGAGATATGCAGGCATATATGTGTAGAAAAACATGCCATTTTTGGAGGAAAATAGCATTTTCCATACGTTTTCTGAAAACCCTAAATGAAACTCATCCCTAAAAACCTTTTTTTCCCGATCAAAAGCACTGTTCAACTGAGACAAAAGTGAAATGGCCCACAATGTGGTTTTCAGAGTTTTCAAAAACATATCTCCGATGTTCGATAATCTCAATTTTCAGATCATAATAACTAACAAGAATCCAAGAGGAACAAAATTCAAAGAAATAAGTTTCATGTACCATTTCAGTAGCAACATTGAGTTTCTGCAGTTTAGATTTCTTCCCCATTGAAACGATCAGTTTTGTGAAAGTAAAAGATAAAGATCAAGAAGCAGAGTTTAACGAAAACCAAAGATATCGCCTAATGCTTTAAACTTCAAAGCGGTGTCAGTGTGTGTATGTGATCTTTTTAGTTCTTCAAGTTTCGGTTATGATTTTGTTGGGCTCAACATTTGGCCCAAAACACTTCACCACATCATCCCCCCACAAAAAAAAAAAAAAACATTTATGTCTATGCAGTTTTAAATTCAAAAATGATAAATATGATTTCTTTAACCTAATGTAATTAAAGAGGTTGATGGTTCAACATGCAAAACTACGTATCAACCCGAACGTTTATTACATTTGTGTTCTTCTTGAAGATAACTTTACAACAATATATCATATATCTAAAACAAAGTTAATGTGAATGATGTGTCGAATCCAAAAAAATAATATGTTTGAAATAAAATATGAATTTTTAGAATGATAAATAAATTGTCCTACATCAGTGGTGCATATGTTAAACCTTAACTGGATTTATAATGCATGTGATATATTACTATCTGGTTGAATGGTAAGATACCACACATTCACATGTGTGGCCGTAACATAGTCACATGGAACGCGGAACGTGCTGGAACGAGGAACGAAAATGGAAACGATGATCGATACTTTCTTGTTTTCGGTACGAGGGGGGGTAGTTTCATTCGGAACGCGAATCGGATACGCGGAATGTTGTACCAGTTACTCTGGTACAAAGTACGATATATAAAAAAAATGTACACTATGATTTAGTAATCAACATAAAAGTAGAAATGATATTAAATAAAACATAATTATTCCAAATTTAATAAATCATAACTTCAAAAAAACATGGTTCTTTAACAGAAAATAAAAAACAGGAACATAAAATGAAATTAGTTAACCCTTTGCTTTTTCCCGTTCCCACCCACATTAGCTTCATCTTCGTCTAAATTCTCCCATTGCATGTCCTCAAATCTTTTACTTGGCCCTTCTAAATAAGGATTTTCCGGATTTATATCCCATTTTTTATGTGGTCCTGTTTTGTAACTTTCAAAAAAACATGACTATAGATGAACGTTTGAATGGATAAACACAAGTTTGTCAGCTCTTTTAGTATTTAAGCGGTTTCTCTTCACATTGTGTATGTAAGAGTAGGTGCTCCAGTTTCTTTCTGCAGACGAGCTACTAATCGGCTGTGACAAAACTTTCTTTGCAACATCAACCAAATCCGAAGTTTTTTGAACCGTAACTTGACCACCAATCGATCGCGTCCATGGTTACTGCATCCATTTGAGTTGTCGCCATTGAGTAGAGCCCCTTCTTCATTTGGAATTTTGCAAACTGCTCACGCAACATGCACTCTTCTTTTGGGCTTTCAGCTATTCTTTTAAAAGCTTCCATACAACCGAGTACCACTTCTTTGTCGAGATTAGGAGCTTTTCTGGGTATTCCACCTGGTGCTAACATGCTAAGATAATGTGTATCGTAAAATCGAGGAGATAAATCAAATCCCAAGCAGTGCAACGGAATCGTCATCTTCTCCCATCTAGATAGCACAATTTTCTCCACTTGCAGGTAATAAGAAGCATATTTATTATCTAACATAACATTCTTAATTTCACCCAACATATTATCCATTTTTTCATATATTTCTCCAATTTTTGATCCCTCGCCATCACAAAACTTCATCAATAAGAAAATTGATCTTGTAATTGCTAAAATACTTTCAATATCTTCCCAGAACTCTTCACTTCTTATGGTGTCAAAAACTGTGGCTCTGGTAACTCTAGTGTTTTCATCTACGTGTTTAACCCAATATCTCCAAGAATTTAAGGCAATGGTTGTAGCAAGAGCCTCCCTACAATCCATTAACATTTTCAATAAAATGTAATGGGACGCAAATCTTATCTTGGCCACTTTTAACAATTCTAACTGTGAGCTGTCTCTAAAAATGGTCAAAGCTTGATTGTGGTTAAGGAAATAATTAACAGTCACTTTCCTCTCTTATATGTGTTGATCAACCAATTAAACCCATTGGCAAGGTCTTTAAAAATCAAGTTTAATGTATGAACACAACAAGGAGACCAGAAGATGTGTTTGTGTACCTTTTCAATTTCCCTTCCAGCAGATTTGCAATTCGCTGCGTTATCTGTAACAACTTGAAGGACATTATTTGGTCCTACTTTTTCAATAGATTTAAACAAGTATTATGCTATTACCACACCTATTTTTTCCAGACCATAGAAATCCTTTGCATACATGAACATTGCCCCACGACTGTTCACCGCAAGAACATTAATAAGAGTTTTGTGTTTCACATTTGTCCACCCATCGGATACAATGGAAACACCTTGGGAATACCATGTGTCCTTGATTGGTTTTAAATCTTTTTCAACATCTCTGAGGCATTCATCAAGCAAAACAGTCCTTGCATTTTTACTTGATGGTGGTTTGTAACCAGCGGGTGCTTTGCTGATTGCTCAATCCATCTCGCGAAATTGCGGATTCCACAAAACATTGAAAGGAATGACATTAGCTCATAATCCTCTCATAATCTTCAGGTCCACCATGTTTCTTTCCATTTTGCCAAATGATTCTTCAATGGGTTTCTTAGACAAAGAAGAAGATGCAATCTTGTTACTGAATACAAACTTTTCAAAGCACGAGAAACACCTACCTTTTCAGCATCTTTAACTTTATTCATCAACCTTTGATACTTCTCCCAGTATTTTAATATTGCACTACACCTTTTAATTTGTCCTTTTTTCCCATCAGTAGCACCAAAAAAGTGAACATAAATTCTGGTGTAAGCACTTGTAGATTTTGGTGGCAATGCTTACATATTCAAACCTTTGAACCCCCTGCGTTTTTGCTATTTGCAGAACTAATCATGGTGACTTCTTGCATAAGTGGTTTGTCATCCTTCGCTTCTTTGCTCTGAACTTCATTATTATCCTCTACAACTGTGTCATCTTCAATGTTATCTTCATTCTCTGACAGCACAATGTGCTTTGTTGTAGCCTCTGCATTGTTTTGAGCAGAAGAAGTAGACCCCTTTTTACCAAAAGGCATTATTGTAACAAAGTTTTTTGTTACCGTGAAGAGGGAATGAAAAAAACTGTGTATTGTTCTTACTGTGAAAGAGAAGAGTGAAGTCTATGTTCATTACTTCATCGTGGCTCTTTATATAAGTATATCAATTGTGAAATCAATTGAATATAAGGAAACTCAATGTGAAATAATATAAATGATTCAATGAAATCAATTACATATGTAATAACAGTTAATTAAATAAAAAACGAAATCAATTGAAAAATCAAATCATATATTTGCTAACAAATAGCGTAAGCGCATCAGACAGAAAAAAATGGGATTTCAATTACAACAGTCGGCGACCCAATTTAGTTCCAATTGTACCAGTACGCGATCCCAATTTCACCGCTTCACGTTCCAGATTCTATTAACTCGTGATCCCAATTGAATAAAATACAAAATCGGGAATGACACATATCACGTTCTAGGTCGCGATCCATCAACGTTCGGTACGAAAATGTACCACGATCTGGAACGCACGATCCGGAACGTAATTCGAAGGCACTTTGACGTTCCTGGTGACTATGGTCCATAAACAAAAAAATTCATGAGTAGCGTGTGAATATGAACTTTGCACGTATACACAAGAGTATAAAAGAAATTTTCATTTAGCCACTTGATTGATTATTGTTGCTAACTCATCGACTTGGCCCTTCAAGCTTACATATATCTAGTGTTAAATTTCATCTGGATTGATCTATAGTGTTAGGTCAGACTAAGTTGATCTAAGTATAAGATTGCGGATCATTAGGCTAACAATTGATCTAATTGACCACCAATAAAAAATAATACCAAAATTTGGCGCCACATACATGGCGGCGACAACAGCAGCAGCAACAACAACATCACCAATTTAAGAGAAAGATAGATATTTTGGTCTGTTTGCTCATAATTTATGAACTCGTTTATTAAAACATCATAAAAGTTTGAGGTAAAATCAAAATATAGTTGTTTTATTAGTTGATCATGAATAAATAAATTAGGCCCATTGGAACGGTACCTTGACTCAAACCTTAGATATATTTCTTCTATTATGAGGAAAAGAAACAAAAAAAATGTATTTTCAAGTGTTTTTACTTTTTAGCAAGTTAAAAGAGAGAAAATTTTCTTTTTTTTTTCCTTAAATGTTTTTTAATAATGTTATAAATGTATAAAAAAAATGTTTAATTCTTATATACTTTGAGCTATTGAGATGATTTTAATGGGTTGTTTGATAATCAAATTTCTTTAAGATTTTAAAGTTATGTTCGTTTAAGGTTTAAGGATTTTACAAAGCACTTCTAGTTTTGATACTTTTAAATTGTTATATAAAAGTATTTTGTAACATCCTGTTTCGAGAAGTTTTTTAATTTGGGATTGTGGGAAATAAATGGATCAAGTAAAGGCCTTGGGCTTCAAGGGAATAGAGTTTATACCCTATTGGATGTTCATAATATTGGTTATGTGATCCAAGCCCTTGATTTGTGTTTTGGAGTCAAAGGGTAAAATGAGAAAAATGATGTTTCGGACTGCTTTCATGAATTAAGGATTTTAGTTCGGTATGTTTTAAGTCAAAAGTAATTAGATAGGATTGTGGAGCTCTTCAATACCATTACATGCATATAAAGAACACTGAAAACGGAGTTGAAACGAATAAGTTATGGCTATTTGAAGTTGAAGTGCAAATTGAGGATTTTTGGGTTACGCAGGGCGTAATGGGTTTTAATGAATTACACAGGGTGTAATTTATGATTACGCAGGGCGTAATATGGGCATACCAAAACCCTAAATCTTCGGTTTTGAGCCCTATTTAAGGGCTCTAACTTATGGAAAACCCTCTCATTACTAGCCTTGGCATCATTTATGAGCTTATTTCTCCATTAGAATGTTGAATCTTGAAGAGCAAGGTGGTGACAATGTATGGAATAAGAGTTCAAGTATAGATCCAACAAGATTATATCATTCCTGGACCATTATGAGTAAAAAGCTTCTAACTTGCTCATTGGTTTCATAGATCTAGTCACTTGTTATATCT